TCTCCAATATCTCGTGGAGTGGGAGGGGTACGGTCCGGAGGAGCGGTGCTGGGTGCCAAGGAGGGACATTCTGGATCCGTCCCTGATGACCGAATTCCATCGTGGTCATCCTACGCGCCCTGCTCCGCGTCCCCCTGGTCGTCCCCGAGGCCGGAGGCGGGGGGGGGTACTGTCACGGTTTCGGCCGAGGCGGCTCCTCCTCCTTGTTCGGGCAGGTTTCGCCGGTCGTCGTCTCCGGAGTTCTAGCTGCCACCGCTCGATGTTTCGTGTTTGTTTGGTTTTGTCTGTTAGTCACACCTGTTTTGTGTTAGGTCTCATTTAGCACCCTATTTAGTTTCCTTGTTGTTAGGTTTGTGTTGTGTGTGATTGTTCGGGTCGTGGTTGCGCTACCCGTGTCGGTACGCTATTTTCCTGAGCTTCCTCCTTGTTGTGTGAGGAGAGATTTACGCACCTGTGTGTGCGCTTGTATTTACGCCTGTGTGCGTCTTTTGCCTCCGGGCTGTTTTGGATTACTTTTCGTGCACAGTAAAGTCTTGTTGGACTTACCCTCTGCTGCCTGCGCCTGATTCCACACCACACCCATACACAGCACCGTGACAGTTGAGAGCCAGACCCTTAGTCTGCTGCTCTCTCCCTCCACTGACTCACCATGAGATGCAGGCACCATCAGCCCAGTAAAATAAAAATAAAAAGCAAATTATTTGAATGTATGCTCACTCAGCTGTGCTTCACAAGTAATACAAGAACGGATCTATTACCGGTGTCATCATATAGCCTACCTCAAATTTTGAAATATAATTTTAAATGGCCCGAAAAACTATTCAAGGGCAATTCAAGCAAAGCCAAAATGCGGTGGTAATGTATTGGGCCTATAGCTTACTGCACAAACCTCATTGCTACAGTACTGTTTTTAATTGGTTAATGTTGCATAGGCTTATGTTTTTTTAATCTTTTTTTTTCTGAGCGGTAAATCTTGTCTTGCATTTTGACTCAGTGATCTTGACTGGGAATCACTGTTCTAGAGTTTTCCCTGTTAACACTATCAACGTTTCCCTTTACTGTGGCAATTGTGACAAGCAATATTAGCCACGTTCAATGCAACATACCGAAACAAATCAAACTATGCAACAGATTTTGTTGTAGGCACAACGCATCGGAGTAGGATTCTACTGCATTGACACACACTACTCAGCCCGTACTCTACACAGACCGGTGAAGCATAAACAATCAGAGCTGCAGTACGCCTATATGCAAATAGACCATTACCATATATGGATCTGTGCCATTTACTTTGAACTGGACTGTGTTTACAGCATTAGCGGTCGTGAGTAGATGTGCTTGTTTTGAGATCAAAGCGAGAGCTGCATGTAGCCACATGTGCACATTTTGTTCATATCCTTTGCTAGTTAATGAGTTATTAGCCCAGTTATAGATCATTTGTAGTCAGCAATAAGGGAGTGATTGCTTCCTACAAGAGCACAAAACGTACACATTTCTAGACATCTTTGAAAAGCCAGTCAGTTAAAGAGCTTTTTTCTTTTTCTTAAAGGGGCAGTGTTGTATTTTGAGACAGGCTTAAATAAGCTAAGCTAACCTAACCAGCAGACCTGAAATTTGCTCAATGCCGAACATTTTTTGAGGGAACATTGATTTGTGCCACAAACATAATCCAATACCTGCAGGTAGTCAGAGGTTTTATTGAATTTCTTTTGAAGTGCATTTTCAGTGAACTGATGAACCCTTACTCAGAACTCTGAGGGAACCTCTCTAGGAGAAGAATGTGCCACAAATTACTATATTGATGACACCACTATCCCCATATCAATATGCTACTGCAGGCACAGAACATAATTTATTGTAAGGGCCTCATCGTGGTGAAATCATTTAAAGGCTTAAACCTCATGACATTCACAATGACTGCAGCTATATTGAGTGAAACCCATTGACAGAAAATTCAAAGCTGTTCACCAATTAGCATCTGCCTGATTAAGTCACATAAGGGGTATTCCTACTCCCTCTTCTGCTACGTATTTTTGTCACCTATCCCTAATGTGAGTTCGAAATCACATCTCTTACGTAGGCTCACTGAGATAACTATCTATGTCAAATACATTTTCCAACCCTGTCACTTTAGTGCTGTTCACTATGATGCAGGTGTTGTCTGGCTGCGGATGAGTGCATGAGTTTACCGGTAGTCTCAAAACCAAACAATGCATTGTGCTCAGTTTTTTTGTTCCCATAAGTTTCACGGTGTTCATTTGTTTTTCTATGTCTCATTCTGCTTTCGTAAATCATAGAGGTGGTAGGCTACTGTCACCATATCTTGGTTTTACTTCCTGTTTTTAAGATACTGAAATGTACAGTATGTATCATTTTGGAATGTCTGGTTAAAATGGCAATGTTAAATAGTCTGTTATTTATCAGTAAGACCAGCAGGCTGGCCTAGTTTGCAATATGAAACTTCACATTGAGTTGTGTGGTGTTTGCATTTTATTGCATGCAATCATCACATGTAGATAATGCTGCAAACATAATTTATTTAAGGGGATCAAGTCAGTAAACATAATATTTCACCAGCTGCACTGTGAGAATATTATATGTACTGTAATAACTGTAGAGACACAGACAAAAGATAACATTTGTCTTCCTTACAGACACACAAGGAAGTGGGACAATACATTAGGGAGTTACAACTGCAGTCATTTGATTACCGACAAAGGGGAAGAATCTTCAGTAGGCCTATTCTAGCCTGGAGGATAACAAATCAATAAATGCTAAAACAGTCAGATATACTGTACTTAGGGCTATCAGTTTATTTTAAGAAGTTGATACATTTATCCCTCATTAGTTGATTAACAGATAACATTTGTCTTCCTTACAGACACACAAGGAAGTGGGACAATACATTAGGGAGTTACAACTGCAGTCATTTGATTACCGACAAAGGGGAATAATCTTCAGTAGGCCTATTCTAGCCTGGAGGATAACAAATCAATAAATGCTAAAACAGTCAGATATACTGTACTTAGGGCTATCAGTTTATTTTAAGAAGTTGATACATTTATCCCTCATTAGTTGATTGGAGTGAGATCAGAGAAATCCATCTTAACTGCAGGGCAGTTGAACCTTATGAATACTGGTGACGGCTTACTGTAGGTGAAAGACACTAGAAATAGAAGCCACCCTACACAGGACATTATGGTGAGGATATCCAATGAAGGATCAGTACTTACGGTACCACCTGAGACCTTGTGCACCCTATTCGGAAAGTATTCAGACCACTTGACTTTTTCCACATTCTGTTACGTTACAGCCTTATTCTAAAATCGATTAAATTGTTTTTTCCCCTCATTAATCTACACACAATACCCCATAACGACAAACCAAAAACTGGTTTTTAGATTTTTTTGCAAATCTATTAAAATTAATAACGGAAATATCACATTCACATAAGTATTCAGACCCTTTACTCAGTACTTTGTTGAAGCACCTTTGGCAGCGATTACAGTCGCGAGTCTTCTTTGGTATGACGCTACAAGCTTGGCACACATGTATTTGGGGAGTTTCTCCCATTCTTCTCTGCAGATCCTCTCAAGCTCTGTCAGGTTGGATGGGGAGCGTCGCTTCACAGCTATTTTCAGGTCTCTCCAGAGATGTTCGATCGGGTTAAAGTCCGGGCTCTGGCTGGGCCATTGTAGGACATTCAGAGACTTGTCCCGAAGCCACTCCTGCATTGTCTTGGCTGTGTGCTTAGGGTTGTTGTCCTGTTGGAAGGTGAACCTTGGACCCAGTCTGAGGTCCTGAGCGCTCTGGAGCAGGTTTTCGTCAAGGATCTCTCTGTACTTTGCTCCATTCATCTTGCCCTCGATCCTGACTAGTCTCCCAGTCCCTGCCACTGAAAAATATCCCCACAGCATGATACTGTCACCACCATGCTTCACCGTAGGAATGGTGCCAGGTGTCCTCCAGAGAGTTCAATCTTGGTTTCATCAGACCAGAGAATCTTGTTTCTCATGGTCTGAGAGTCCTTTACGTGCGTTTTGGCAAAAGGTCTGAATACTTGTTTTTTATTTTTAATAAATTTGCAAACATTTCTAAAAACCTGTTTTTGCTTTGTCATAATGGGATATTGTGTGTAGATTGATGAGCACATTTTTGATTTTATCCATTTTAGAATAAGGCTATAACCTAACAAAAATGTGGAAAAAGGGAAGGGGTCTGAATACCTTCCGAATGCACTGTATATCCTATAATTCATTACAATGGTTCCAATTGGTCTAAGTATCTCTCTTTCACGTTATACATGAGGTAAGCTCAGTGTAAACTAATATGTCATGTCTACCCATTTTGTAGAATAATTGTTGACGTCTTGACATCGTTATGAATTCATCCATTTATGCTGTACCCCTTATGGCAGGGATCTTCAACTAGATTCAGCCGCGGGCCGATCTTTTCTTGAGCGGAGGGTCGGAACATAACTACAAATTATTTGTAGACTGCAAATTGACCGGAAGAAGCCCAAACAAATATTTGACAAAAACATAATAAATTCAAACCTTGCCAACATTTGCATATGATCACGTGTCTATCTATTATGCGTGGAAATACTTAGGAACAGATTTCCCAAATTAAAATCACTGGAGCTGATTTCCTGGTGTTTTTACTGTTTTTTATGTGCAACAATGAAATTACAAAAAAAATACACAAAAATATCTATTGTTTTTGCTCAGAAACTTGGGGCCGCAAATAAAACCATCAGGCATCTGCCTTAGGAGGTTTTCTGATAGGTTCAGCCTACACCACGTAATTTTTAAAGAGGCAAATGCCTGATGCAGTTGAAAGAGGAAACTGCGCATTGAAGGTATTTCAGGATGTGAAAGGTTATAGCTGACTGAGCACTCAGTGAGGTCTCAGGTGATGACCGAGGTCATTTACCCTGTTCTAACTTAATGGACAGACAGACAATTTTCTTTTCTCAAAAGTTTATTTTCAATTTTGTAGCATTTTTTTGTGCATTTAAACAAATACTTTGAAAAACAAGCATCTTGAAAACAGCTCTAGTCTGCCTCCAGTCATTTCTATTTCCCTCATACATTAAATGATGGCCTTGAGATATTCCTGCATTAGCAGAGTAGAAAACTCAGTACGTAATCGTTAAAAGCACTTACAAATCTACATTTTGCTTTGTGTATATTTAGCTAACATTTTGTAACATCGATAAACACCCACCAAATCCTGTTCAACATTCATTCCCTCTAATTTCCACCAAAGATACTTTCAGTTTCTCCTCCTCTCTCTTCCTGAGAACAATACCTTTAAATACAGCTGAAACTCTGATAACATGATACAATTTTTTACTTGGACAACACTGCAGTAGGCCAAGCCTATAATCTACTGTAAAACACAAAGACAGCACATTGGGCTGTAGTCTGTCTACATCTGGAGCATCTAATGGAAAATAAAAAGCATGGAGTACATAGGGCATAGCCTCCAATTATGTCCTATCATTGAAGCCATGACCCCATGGAGGTCCTTGTTATTTTTGGTATCTGAAGAAGAGGTGACAGAATGCTGGAACGTGACCTGCAGCTTCCAGGGGAGTGTGGACAGGGACTCTGCCAACGCAGAGGGGAGAGAAATGCTTCCCCCTGGGCTGTCAAATGTCCCTAGTGGTGTGACTAGTGTTAAGGTGTCTGTATGAAGAGATACATACTTCCTCTTGGGCTGTTATTAAAGTATGGGACTCATGTTAGTGAGTGTTAGCACTGTGACAATTTTTTCTTTGTCTGAAGAAAGACAATTCCCCTGTGCAACTCTCAAGAGACATCTCTAGTTGCAGTACCACCATGGCAGTCAGGCCTATTCTATATGTCAGTGGGTCATCATAAGTAATTATCTGAATACAGTGCAATTGATCTGACACCATGGTAATCCAAACTCAAACCATATCCATTCCAGAGCCACACCTCATCACTATCTTCCCTGTCTATCTACTCTGACCTTTCAGTCCGCACCTTCCCTGAGGTGCAGTGGAAAGGTGCTGCTGTGCTATGGGTGTGTGCTGTGTCCCTCCAGGGCTCTACTATGGAGGCCTGTGTCTCTCTCACGTCAGGGCTAGGGCACAGATCAGAGGAGTCATTTCCATTTCCTCCCACTTGGCTAATTACTGTCTGCACGCTCTGCCAGCCATTCTTCTTCCCTCTCATGTCATAACAGAAACCTGTGCAGTGGAAAACCCCTGATTACCCTGCGTAGATTAGACAGAGGTGTTAATACAGTAACTCCATCCTCACAGGGTGGGATATGTTTTAACAGAGGGAGAAGCGTCGGGAGTTGATGTTCATCTTGGTGAGGCCAAGGTGTTTGAGGGTGGTGGAGAGAGCAAAGGCAGCCTTCATGGGGATGTCACAGAGCAGGTCGGACTCCTCGCCACACTCCTCCAGCTCGTAGGTGGCGTCGTCCAGCATCTCCTTGTGGCGGTGACACACCTGCTCCACCTTCAGCCGGTGGATCTCCACACGCAGACGGATCAGCTGGCGTGCCAGACGGTTGTCCTGGAACCGCATCTCCCTCTTGAGGAGGAAAGGAAAGAGAGAGGGGAGAGATTAGTAATCAAATATCAATTCAAGCGCTCGTTTCCTTGGATTAGGCTTTTGTCATTGATGTGTAAAGACACTGACACATGTCTGTGTAAAAAAGTATTTGCATTTCTATTTTAGGATTTTTCAGCTCTGAAATTAACACAAGGTCCCTATTGTTTTAGTGTGTTTGCATTATTTTGGATGCAAAGATAGCACATAGTCATGCTGTAATCAGACAAGCATTCAAGTAGAGCTCAACAGTGAAAACAAGTTTATTTCCCATTGATGTCTCCATCACACGACACTGGTGGCTGGCATAGAGGCTCTGCGTTATGGCACACCTGAGTCATGAGGAAGCACAAACCAGCCAACCCAAACCAGTGTAACTACTTACCTGGTAATTACGTTTGTCAAATAGTCGCATTGTGTCCGATTCATATCGAGTTGAATATTTTCATTGTATATCTGAAATAGTGTAGCCTTATTAATTTCTAACATGTCCAAGTAAAAATAACAGATTCAGAGTTGGAGATTTTTTTTGTCAATATTGGCATTAAAAAGACGTGCACTCACCAGCTCTTTTCTAAGAAAATCCAACGCATCATCAATGGTATCGAAGCCACAGATGTTGCGTATGGTTAGATCTGAGTTCTCATCCCGCATAACTTCAGGCAAAAACACATATTTTTCTGCAGTCTCTTGACTATTATCTAAACCATTTGGGTTCTCCTTCCACGGTCGGCTCTGCAAGCGCTCCTGCCATTCAAAGTAGGATGGTCTGCGGGTTTGTAACTTTAGTTTTTCGGTAAGTGCTTTCACATTGTTCAAATCCTCAGCGTTTCCCTCATTATCTCCTTCGCAGTTGTCCTCACCTCCCAGCTCCTTAAAGTCCATTGCAATTGCACTAGACGTTTTAAATGGATCTGCGTAAAAAGACATCACAGAGGCTGCGAAAACGTTTGAATGAGTTATTCACAGAGCAAGATATGTCCCTTGAGTGTTCAGTCAGTGGGCTTGCCAGTTCTGGATTGGAGTGCACTGGTGATCCTTACTTTATTTATAGAGTGATAAGGATAAACAAAAGTGACCGCCCCTTATTGAGCGAGGGGGAAGAGGTGTAGGTCATGCAAGTATCCATGTGACCACAAGTTGGTGAAATAAAGAGTTAGCGGTGTCTACTTATGGCAGCACTCAGGTGCAACTTCTAACGTTGGAATGCAATGATCTGATTTGACATGTAAAAAAAATCCTACACTAAAATGGCAATAGGATAAAAGTGACATTGATTTATCCATATCTCTGAAACGTGATTAGTTAAGATGACTCCTAGATATATTTTGTTTTTATCTGGAATGTTTGTAATAAAAATATTTCTTATTTGATTAGATTTGAAATATTTTGGTGTTGCCAATTCATTTTTAGTAGGACTGGTACAGTAGCTATACATAAACATAATGTATCAGTGCATGATCCTGACTGAAGAACAGCTGAGAAACTGTAAAAAGGTTTCACTTACTATGACTGTGATATGTGGTTGTGTTACCTAGCTTGTATGTCGCTCTTGATAAGAGCGTCTGCTAAATGACAAAAAATTTAAATGTAAACGCGTCAGAAATAGGATTGGAATGTTTTCATTTGAGGCAATGCCTCCATCTAGTGGTGATATTGTAACACGCATGGGGAGTCTATTCAACTTGCTCAATAATGGGCTGAAAGATGGATAGCAAGCAGCATGCTACATGTTTTACACTATATGTGAATGAAAACATCTACTTTCTCCCACCTACTATTTGACCTCCAGATGATCCATTTTCTATCAAAAACTAGGTCAACACACAGGAAATGAGAAGGGTATTCACAAATATTGACCAATACAGTGGCTTGCTTTAGGTGAGTGACCTGAAGTTACTAGATGAGTAATGTAAACTAACTAGTCTGGGATGGTTCAACAACAGCTTGAAAGAGACCGAAATCAGTCAGCAGCTGATTTCACTCAAAAAATCGAGTATGATTTTTATACATACTCAACTCCAATAGTCTAATTAAGCAATAAGGCCAGAGGGGGTGTGGTACATGGCCAATATACCATGGCTAAGGGCTGTTCTTAAGCACAACGCAACGTGGAGTGCTGGATACAGCCCTTAGCCGTGGTATATTAGCAATATACCACAAACACCCGAGGTGTCTTATTGCTATTATAAACTGTTTACCAACGTAATTAGAGCAGTAAAAATAAATGTTTTGTCATACCCGGTCTGATATACCACGGCTTTCAGCCGATCAGCATTCAGGGCTCTACCCACCCAGTTTATAATGGTATTTTGGTGAGGTTTGTTGACTTTACATAGGGAGGGAACATGCCCGATCCACATCAATGGATCGTGGTCCTCTGTAGCTCAGCTGGTAGAGCACGGCGCTTGTAACGCTTGGAACGCCAAGGTAGTGGGTTCGATCCCCGGGACCACCCATACACAAAAATGTATGCACGCACGACTGTAAGTCGCTTTGGATAAAAGCGTCTGCTAAATGGCATATTATTATTATATTATAATGGGACTGCAGTAGACAGAGTTTTAAGTTCCTCTGCATCCACATCACAGAAGACTTGAAATGGACCAACAACACCACCACCACTCTTGTCAAGAGAGCCCAACAGCGTCTCTACTTCCTATGGCGGCTGAAGAAATTGGCATGCCACCCCGGACCCTCTACAAATACTACCGCTGCACCATCGAGAGCGTCCTGACCGGTTGCTTCACGGCCTGTGACGGGAATTGCTCCGTCTATGACCGCAAGCCCATCCAGCAGGTGGTGAATATGGCCCAGTACATCACTGCTGGAACTGTGCTCCCACCCATCCAGGACATCTACTTGAAACCGTGCCTGAGGAAGGCCCGCAGCATGATCAAGGACCCCACACACCCCAGCCACGAGCCGTACCCTCCAAGTTTGCAGACGACACAACAGTAGTAGGCTTGATTACCAACAATGATGAGACAGCCTACAGGGAGGAGGTGAGAGCTCTCGGAGTGTGGTGTCAGGAAAATATCCTCTCACTCAACGTCAAAAAAACAAAGGAGATGATCGTGGACTTCAGGAAACAGCAGAGGGAGTACCCCCCTATCCACATCGACGGGACAGCAGTAGAGAAGGTGGAAAGTTAAGTTCCTCGGCGTACATATCACTGACAGACTGAAATGGTCAACCCACACAGACAGTGTGGTGAAGAAGGCGCAACAACCTCAGGAGGCTGAAGAAATTTGGCCTGCCACCTAAAACCCTCACAAACTTTTACAGATGCACAATTGAGAGCATCCTGTCGGGCTGTATCACCGCTTGGTATGGCAACTGCACCGCCCACAACCGCAGGGCTCTCCAGAGGGTGGTGCGGTCTGCACAACGCATCACCGGGGGCAAACTACCTGCCCTCCAGGACACCTACAGCACCCGATGTCACAGGAAGGCCAAAAAGATAATCAAGGACAACTACCACCCGAGCCACTGCCTGTTCACCCCGCTATCATCCAGAAGGCGAGGTCAGTACAGGTGCATCAAAGCTGGTACCGAGAGACTGAAAAACAGCTTCTATCTCAAGGCCATCAGACTGATAAACAGCCATCACTAGCACAGAGAGGCTACTGCCTACATACAGACTTGAAAATCACTGGCCACTTGAACAAATGGAACACTAGTCACTTTAATAATGCCACTTTAATAATGTTTACATATCTTGCATTACCCATCTCATATGTACAGTGAGGGAAAAAAGTATTTGATCCCCTGCTGATTTTGTACGTTTGCCCACTGACAATGACATGATCAGTCTATAATTTTAATGGTAGGCTTATTTTACCAGTGAGAGACAGAATAACAACAACAAAATCCAGAAAAACGCATGTCAAAAATGTTATAAATTGATTTGCATTTTAATGAGGGAAATAAGTATTTGACCCCCTCTCAATCAGAAAGATTTCTGGCTCCCAGGTGTCTTTTATACAGGTAACAAGCTGAGATTAGAGCACACTCTTAAAGAGAGTGCTCCTAATATCAGCTTGTTACCTGTATAAAAGACACCTGTCCACAGAAGCAATCAATCAATCAGATTCCAAACTCTCCACCATGGCCAAGACCAAAGAGCTCTCCAAGGATGTCAGGGACAAGATTGTAGACCTACACAAGGCTGGAATGGGCTACAAGACCATCGCCAAGCAGCTTGGTGAGAAGGTGACAACAGTTGGTGCGATTATTCACAAATGGAAGAAACACAAAAGCACTGTCAATCTCCCTCGGCCTGGGGCTCCATGCAAGATCTCACCTTGTGGAGTTGCAATGATCATGAGAACGGTGAGGAATCAGCCCAGAACTACACGGGAGGATCTTGTCAATGATCTCAAGGCAGCTGGGACCATAGTCACCAAGAAAACAATTGGTAACACACTACGCCATGAACGACTGAAATCCTGCAGCGCCCGCAAGGTCCCCCTGCTCAAGAAAGCACATATACATGCCCGTCTGAAGTTTGCCAATGAACATCTGAATGATTCAGAGGAGAACTGGGTGAAAGTGTTGTGGCCAGATGAGACCAAAATCGAGCTCTTTGGCATCAACTGAACTCGCCGTGTTTGGAGGAGGAGGAATACTGCCTATGACCCCAAGAACACCATCCCCACCGTCAAACATGGAGGTGGAAACATTATGCTTTGGGGGTGTTTTTCTGCTAAGGGGACAGGACAACTTCACCGCATCAAAGGGACGATGGACGGGGCCATGTACCGTCAAAACCTGGGTGAGAACCTCCTTCCCTCAGCCAGGGCATTGAAAATGGGTCGTGGATGGGTATTCCAGCATGACAATGACCCAAAACACATGGCCAAGGCAACAAAGGAGTGGCTCAAGAAGAAGCACATTAAGGTCCTGGAGTGGCCTAGCCAGTCTCCAGACCTTAATCCCATAGAAAATCTGTGGAGGGAGCTGAAGGTTCGAGTTGCCAAATGTCAGCCTCGAAACCTGAATGACTTGGAGAAGATCTGCAAAGAGGAGTGGGACAAAATCCCTCCTGAGATGTGTGCATTCCTGGTGGCCAACTACAAGAAACGTCTGACCTCTGTGATTGCCAACAAGGGTTTTGCCACCAAGTACTAAGTCATGTTTTGCAGAGGGGTCAAATATTTCCCTCATTAAAATGCAAATCAATTTATAACATTTTTTACATGCATTTTTCTGGATTTTGTTGTTGTTATTCTGTCTCTCACTGTTCAAATAAACCTACCATTAAAATTATAGACTGATCATGTCTTTGTCAGTGGGCAAACGTACAAAATCAGCAGGGGATCAAATACTTTTTTCCCTCACTGTATATAGTGTATTCTATACTATCTATTGCATCTTAGCCTATGCCACTCTGCTAATGACATTGCTCATCCATATATTTATATATTCTTATTCCATTCCTTTACTTAGATCTGTGTGTATTAGGTTTTTGTTGTGGAACTGTTACATATGACTTGCTAGAAATTGCTGCACTGTCGGAACTAGAACCATAAGCATTTCACTACACTCTGAATAACATCTGCTAACCATGTGTATGTGACCAATACATTTGATTTGGTTTGATTTTGTACCGTCGGGCACACGGTATCGGAGTATGAGGTCTGATACCAACAGGCTCAGAGACAGTTTCTATCTACAAGCCATCAGACTGTACCGGAGCATGAGGTCTGATACCAACAGGCTCAGAGACAGTTTCTTTCTACAAGCCATCAGACTGCTTAACACTTGAACTGGACTGACCACTTGCACTGACTCTCTGCACCTTAGCACACATGCACTCACTCACGCACACACCCACAAAGATATACACTCTTATTATGAGTAATATGATTGCTAAATACTGCACAATATAAACACTTGCTCCTCAAAACACGTGTAAATATTAGACTATAAATAGTGCCTTCCTGTATTATACTTATGCTCAAATGTTTATTCTATTGTGCTATTTACTTTACTGTTTGTGTTCTTATA